CTCAGATGCCCATTTAAAAAAAAGAAATTTGATTGGCAAGCTTGTGAAGAGGGAGGTATACTTTTCTTGATAAGTTGATGGTAAAGTTGTGTCTTTTTCCACAGATTTTGCACAAAGACTAGGAATTCTTTAAGAACCATATTGTCCACTGCAGTTAACTCCTAGCTGCATATAGCTGTTGAGCACTTAAAATGTGACTAATGTTTTGTGAGTATAAAATACTCTGCATTTTGAAGACTTAGCGATAGGTTTTGATGGTGTTGCAGCAGAGAAACAGGCAGAAGGAAGAGGGAAAGGGCTTCATTACAAAGGGAAAGGGGCTTCATTATCTTGGAGGACATGGAGAGAATTTAGGAACATAAGGAATTCTCTGGATTGGAACAAGGGAAGGCTGAGGCTTTTATGGTCTTTTGCCTGGGGTAGGGTTTGAGGGAGACGTTTAGATAGACCTGAGGAGCTGATTGGAGCCTTCCCTGATGTGGCGGGAAAGGTAAAGGGAAACTGCACCCTGGACTGAGTTGGAGAAGAAGAGGGGAGGTGGTCTCTGGGAAGATAAGCTGTTGTTTTAAGGGCTTCAGCCATATTGGATGACCACCATAATAATTCAGCAATTCATACTAGGGCCAGAACCTATCACTTAGTATGAGACAAGGAGTAGTGAAGAATCTCAATTCTTTTACCCTATGTTAAACAAAATCTTTTCATTATACTGGATTAAATGCATTACATGATAAAAATTTAGGTTTTTTTGTCTTTGTTAAAGTAGCACTGTGAATTAAAAATTACATTTGTGGCTCATGCAGTGTTTCCATTGAACAGTGCTAGTCCCACTTATGGTGGCTCGTGACATGATTTGAAGGGTGGGGGAAGACCTTACCTTAGCGTACTTGTTAGCTCATCCTTAGGGGCTTGAGTACTTCCTGCTATGAGGGATTTGGGCTCTTCATTTGTATCATTGAAAAACCTATTTGTCTTGAAAGCATTGGCCGTTCCTGGGTCGGTTTTCTGTTGGGACATGATCGTTTATGCTTACTAAGAATCCCCTCCAGTTGGGTAGCTTTTCTCTTCCTATGAGCCAGTCAGATGCAGTCCCTGGGAAACTGGTGTCTGAAGAGTGAGAAGCGTCTCAGCTGCAGATGAGAGTGGTAGTTAGAGAGCTCACCAAGCGCAGACGGATCCGTCCCTGTTTCCTAAGAAGTGTTTACCTAGGTGGTAGGGATGGAAAAGTACCAAGGCCATCAAAGAAAAGGGAGAAAAAATGAGTAGTAAAGACACTTTTCTGTACATCACCACCTTGTATCAGTTTCTGGCATTTTACCAGTTCTCTTAAGAGGGACCTTCACATATATTTTGTTTCTTGAAAAGGACTTAAAAATTGTTTCTGTACTGGGGGCTGGGGAGGTAGCCCAGTGGTCTAAGTGCCTGCCTGGCGAGCGCAAGGAACCAGATTCAATCCCAGTGCTGGCCACAGAAATTGGGTGTGGTGGCGCACACTTGTACTCCCAGTGCTGGGGAGGCTGAGACAGGAGGACCGTTACGAATCCAAGCTGCATAGTGAGATACTATACCAAATATATAAATTAAAAAAATAGTTACTGTACTCCAGCAGGTGGCACAATGTTCAATGAAACTTTATTTGGGCGAGCTGTCATATCAGAGACAGTTGTTTTCTTTCATTAGTTCTTACTCTGTAGTTGATAAAGTTTTACATAAAGCAATCTTTTTGTTTCTTTTTAGTACATGTTCTATAGGGTCTCACTACACAGATCAGACTCATAGTGATCCTCCTCTTTTACGGGCACATGCCACCACACCCAGTCTCAAATCACCATCTCAGTACACCCCGGGGGCAGGGCTGGCCTGCCAGGGATCAAACCCTGGTCCCAGCATCTGCCTAAGCAGGGACTTTAATCTGCTGAGCTATCTGACTGGCTCTAGAAAGCAATCTTAAATTCTTTGCCTTTTTTTTCTTTTTCTTTTTTTTTTTTTTTGGCTTTTGAGTTGAAATTTGAAGCCTGAGTGTATAATTTTGAGGAAGGGGCTGTTTCTTTGCTGTTTTATAGGTACCCCCTGCTACGTGGATTCTGAAGGCTGTGTTCGGATGCTTAACAGAGGACTAGACAACGTGTGGACCCCTGTGTGTGACACCAGAGAGCACTGCAAGGGGAGATCCGACCACTACTGGGTGGTGGGGATCCATGAAAAGCCCCAGCAGCTCAGGTGGGTGGATACAGAGGGGCTGAGGTTGACCTTGGCTTACAAGGGCTTTACCTTCCCTTGTAGGAGGCTGAGTGAGCCCAAGTAAGGGATTTGCTTTTGGAATCACTGCATGAGGAATGTTGCATTCACTTTAGTTTTCTTTTCCTTGTATTTTTCTTTTTCTTTTTCTTTTTTTTTTTTTGGTCTTTTGAGATAGGGTCTCGCTATGCAGTTCAGGCTGGCCTTGAGCTGACTTTGTAGTCTAAACTGGTCTCAGATTCACAGGTATCCTTCTCCCTTAGCCTCCTGAGTGCTGGGATTATAGGTGTGCTTGGCTGCTTTAGTTTTTAACCAGCTGCTTTATTTGTAACCTACTGAACAAAACATATTTTTAAAATTAAGTTTGTGGGTACATTTTAGATATAATAGTGATAGCACTCATTATAGGGAATTTACCTGTATGTGATATAACTTGATTTTTTACCCCATTCCTCTGCCCTCCCTTCAAGGCCTTTCCCTTCTTACTTTAAAAGCTTGGCTTCCACACAGCAGAATTGTGTTGATCCCTGTGTCTTTAGCACCCTTGTAACCAGGTAGGGAAAGGAATTCGTTAAAAAGTCTTCTGCTTCAGAGGTTGATTTAGAGTCGAATGTGCATAAATCCACTGCTTTTGAAGCTATTTATTTATTTATTTATTTATTTGGAACAGCTCAGACTTGTAGTGATCCTCCTGTCTCAGCCTCTCCAGCGCTGGGATTACGGCATGTGTCACAGCGCCTGGTTTTGGGGCTGGCATGGTGTACAGTACCAGGGATTGAACTCAGGTCCTTGCTCTTGCCAGGGAGGTGCTCAGACCCCTGAGCTATCTCCCGAGCCCTGTGAGGGTTTTTGTTTTTGTTTGACTACCTAACAGTGTACTCCGAGCACCACTCAGGCAGTGTGTGTGTTTCTGTACTCACTGAGCATTGCTCGGGCAGGGGTCCTTGCAGCTCGTCAGTTCTTGTATTTAATACATTTGATAGAATTCTAATTTTTATCACAATTTGAAGTCTGAGGTTGAACTTGTAGCAATGTCCCTTGTATTTCCGGTTATATTATAAAAATCAATGAAATGTGTGCAACATTTGGTCACAATGTATTTAGTTGTTCTTTTTTTTTTTTGGTTTGTTTGTTTTTTGGCGGAACCAGGGATTGAAATCAGGCCCTTGCGCTTGCCAGGGAAGCGCTTATTCTACTGAGCCATCTCCCTGGGCCCCTGGGCACAGTGTATTTAAATAATTGGACTGGTGAGTGGATGCTGGGCTGTTGTCTTGAAAGTTTTCCTCTTTTTGACACTTGATAATGTCTCAGTCTGAAACAGCGTCAGTTGGCACTGTGTACAGGTGGTTGATGAGAGAAGAGCCATCTCTCATGGAGCGCATAGTACTTACGACTTGGGATATGTTCTGTGACTCTGGTTAAACTGTGCTAGAGGTTAGTAGAGGGACACAGGGAGGTGGAGTGACTGGAACACTCAGCAGGGATAGCACTTACAGGGGGGCTCCATAGCTGGGCATGGTGATTGCACAGCTGTAACCCCAGATTCGAGCCCAGCCTGGGCAGCTTAAAGACTTAAAAGACCCTGCCTCAAAATAAAAAAGGGCTGAGGATGGAGGTCAGTGCAGAGGACTTGGGTTCAGGCTCCAGTACCATGAATATGGATAGATTGATTGAAAGACAGACAGAAGCCTTGAATGCGAGGAGCCAGTTATAAAAGAATCGATTAAAATGTGGTCCTTGCAGGTAAACAGCATGGACAAAAGGCCTGTGATCAGAAAAACCTTGTGTCCTTCAGAGATAGGTATAAGTGTGGCTTTAGGACAAGAATGAAGGGATGGGGGAGTAAGCCCTCGACCTGTCAGAAGCCTGAGCTGTGGTATAGGCCATGCCGGAGACGTCTGGATGTTGAAGTTATTTAGAAAACACTGAAGGCCTTGTCTGGAGGAATAATGTAATGTGACTCATGATGTTGAAAGAGCGATGGGCGCGAGCACGTGTGTATGTGTGTGTGTGTGTGTGTGGCGAATGGATTGGAAGGGCTAAGGCCAGTTTCAGTCAGGGATTTACCCCTGAGGGTGTGAGCAATTCCAGGGTGTTGTCAGAGAGCTGTTTAGCTGGTCCCCATCTCCAGGGCCACCACCAAAACAAAAGGAAAGAAGCACAGAAGTCAGCACAGAAGCAGAGTGGAAATGACCTCAGGACCAAAATTTGCTGTCAGGGAGGACGTGCATATGGCCCTTGGGTTATGAAAAGATGGGGACTGTCACTCCACTCAGGTACACATCAGAACTAAAAGGAATTGTGAAGGCTTCCAAATGAAAAATTGTGAAAGCTTGTTGGTGCCCTTGGTTGGTGGGGTAGTGACCGGTCCTGCACTGTGGTGGTGTGAGCTGGGGCCAGAATTAGAGACTTGGGAGCCTGTCACCCCAGTTACTGTGCCTTTGGCCTGCGTCCCACCATGTCAGTAGTGCGTCCTGCACAAAGTGGGGCCCTGCACTGGCAGAACTGCTGCAGCTCTGGGGTCAGGTCTGGCCGCCTGAGTCAAGCTGCTTTTTTCATTTCATTGATGTTGAAGGCAGGTTCTTGCTGTGTAGTCCAGGGTGGCCTTGAACTTACAACGTAGCCCAGGCTGAGTTTGGATTTATAGCAGTCTTCCTGCCTCAGCCTCTTGAGTGCTAGGATTACAGGTGTGTGCCACCACATCCAGCAGATTTATTCTTAATAGCTCATGATGGGTTCTGGCCCTAGTATGAATTGCTGAATTACTATGGTGATCATCTACCATGGCTGAAGTCCTAAATCAGCAGTTTATCTTTCCAGAGCCCACCTCTCCTTCTTCCCTAGCCCAGTCCTCAAAACCATTTCCTTTCACTTTGCACACACCCCAAGGGAGACCCCAGGCAGCTCCTGAGGTGTCACTGTCACTAGACCTTTCCCTCAAATTCCATCCCTGGCGAAAGTCCCTCAAGTCTCAGGTCAGAGCGCCCCTCCCCCATTTCCCTCAAATTCTCTCCGTGTCTTTGGCGTCAGTAGAGGCCTCTTTTGTTTAATGACACCCAAGGAGCTGACTGGGGTCTTCCTTGTGGTGTGGGAGAAGTGAATGGAAATTGTATCCAGGACCAGGGTGGGGAAGAAAGGAAGATCAGCTGCTGTCTTAGGGCTTCAGCCATGTTAGATGACCACTGTCATAGTTCAGCAATGCTTACTAGGGCCAGAACCTATCGGCTCAAAGGCGGAAACAGTGCAGATGTCCATCAGCTGATGAGCGGAGGCAGGAGGGTCAGCAGGAGCTCAAGGCCAGCCTGTCTAACTCTGAACTATAACTAGGACTTGTGAAAAAAAAAAAGAAAGAACTTGTCTTAAAAAACAGAAAGACAGGGGCTGGTGAGATGGCTCAGTGGTCTAAAGCACCTACTTAGAACAAGCTTAGCAAAGCACAGGGACCGCGGTTCAATCCCTCAGCCCCACATGCCAGCCAGCCCCGCCCCCTGGAGGGCTGAGCTGACCACACACACACGCGCACACACACACACACACACACACACACACACAAATAAAAATTTAAAAAAACCCAGAAAGACATGGTAACACTTAACTGTTAAAGTCAATATGGGACAAAGAAATAATGGACTCTGAATATATAGCATTTGGACAAGAGAGGATTTTATAAATTGTTCAGCCCAGCCAGAAGTAAGAGAGCCTTTCTCAGTGTTGGCCAATTCACAGTTTCCATAGTTCTGCATTTGGTATCAGTTGGCAGAAGATTCATAATGATAGTAGCTTCTATAGACCTATACTTATTTTATTATAAATCACCGACATACGTGATAAAATTCTCAGTATATAAAGTGGAAAATATTTGTGGCATCTGGTCTAGGAGTAGTCCCTGGTACTACGCGAAAGCCCAGATCCTTGTGATTGCTCTGCAGGGCTCGGGGCAAAGGCGGGGTGGCCATGCTTCCTTCGGGTCCACGCTGAGCTCCTGCCTGCCTCCCCTCAGTTGTTACATATGACAAGTGAGATTCAGAAAGCTTAGGTAACTTGTCTGAGATCACACAGCTACTTAGAAGCACAAAACCTACATTTTCTGTATTAAAAAAGAACCCTTGGGAGTTGAGTTAATACTCTGAAGAAATAACCGTTCCTTCCATCAGGAGCAGTGTGTTAGAGGAGAAGAAAGCTTAGGCTGCAGGCATGGGGACACCTGGGTATGAAGAAGTCTGCTCATGAAAATGTGCACCTTTGTCTACTGGGATGAGCTGATTTATTTCAGGCTGTTTACCCCTTTTACTGGCTCTATTCTGGAAAATAAACTCGAGAAGTTTTCAGTTTTCAGAGATTGGAAAGTGCCCTACTCAGAACAGCCGGCTGCACTTCCAACGGTAGTGTTTCCTTCCCACCCAGGAAAGCTCGGCACAAAACGCTCCCGCTGGCACCAGCAGCCTCGCGGTGTTTGATGAGCCTCCCTGTGCTTGCTGGCGAGCGGCAGTCCTTGTGCTTGTTAGATCTGGGTGCTTCTGCATGCTGTGGGTGCTGTGGGAAAGGGGCGGGCCAGGGGTTCCTAGAGGGTCCCTGGTGGCATCACACTGCCTGCCCTGGTACCCAGCTCTGCTGCTTAGACCCTGCGCTTCTTTTCCTGTCTGAAACCAAAATAGGCCTGGCTGACAGAATCGGTGAAGAGGAAGCAAGTTGGTGCATATTGGGATGCGTGTATAGCAGGACTTAGCATTAACAGAACGCGAGCTGTTATGAGTGGTTTTTTACTGTTCTTAAAGGGCTTAACTTTGAGTTTTGTGGTAATGTCATGTTTCTTTAATTGTTTCATTTTAAATACTTTTTCCTAACTCAATTCAGCAATCATACTTTATTTTAGGGATTCTTTTTTTCAGGGATTCTTTTTTTTTTTTTTAAAGGTTCTTTTTTTAATATTTATTTATTTTTATTTATTACATTTATTTATTGTGTGTGTGTGTGTGTGTGTGTGTGGCCAGCTCAGCCCACCAGGGGGCGGGTCTGGCTGGCATGTGGTGCTGGGGATTGAACTGCGGTCCCTGTGCTTTGCCAAGCTTGTTTCAAGTAGGTGCTTTAGACCACTGAGCCATCTCTCCAGCCCCAGGGATTCTTTAAAAGGGAAGCTGATACATTTTGTTAAAATGCTTTTTACAAATTAATATGAAATATCTATTTAATAACAAATATAAGAACCTATTTGTAGAGGTATCACCCCCTCCTTTTTATTGTATTTGGTTGTTGTAGGGTCTCACTGTGCAGCCCTGACTCTGTCCCACTCAGTCAGCCCTGGGGCAGGGCTGGCGTGGCATGTGGTGCTGGGGATGGAACCATGGTCCCGTGCGTGCCTGAGCTTGCCTAAGCAGGCGCTGTAGTCCCCTGAGCTATTTAGCTGGCTCCATCCACCTTTTGAATGAACTTATGTCTAACAAATCCAGCCTTGTTAAAGGCACTGAAGATGTTTTCCTCATCACTGCTAGTCAGTTCCTAACCAAGGGAACTGATTTTGCTGTGCTAGAGATGAATTTGCTCTCTGCAAACACCAAACTTCCTTTTTCCCTTTAGTTTTTAAAAACTCGGAAGGGCTTTATTGGGTGCACAGGAAAAGTAGTTCCAACGAGGGTTGTTCCAACTCTGACCGTATGTGCTGTGTGTGGTCTGAGGGCAGCTCGTGGCTATGGCTGCCAGGTGCTTGTGACCATGTGACTCCGAACGGTGCTGTAAGCGCAGTGGTGTGACCAGAGTCCTGCCTAGTGGCAGAGAAAGCAAAACTTGCTGAGGGAAGGCTCGTCTGGCCATTGGCCTCATTTTCTGCTATTGGGTATTTTTTTAGCTTTTAAGAATCATTCTACAATCAGTTTGAGAAAGAATCAGAGTACAGTGTGTCTTCCTAGATGCTGTGGTTTATTCCTGTTTCCTTTTGCACATGGTTTA